CACACACACACACACAGCCATGATGTAATTAAAGCTGAAATGCAGACTTTGTGCTTTAATTGAAGGAGTTAAGGAATTCTAAACACTTTTGAGTGTTTGAGTGTGCTCAAATGTAATTGTACAACTGATTTATAAACAGTTTCATGGTCAGGTGAGGTCTATTCCCTTGGTGATAAACGACAAATTAAACAGATAAAAGTTCTGGAGTGTTAAGTTGCACTTGTTAGTTGTTCATTAAAGAGATGCTGGTGCAAGTGAAGGAGGCCATCGCTTAGCTGAAAAAACAAAATGAGCAAAATGAAAAAGGAAAATGTTTAGGAGTGGTCATGAATAGAAATGGTGAGTTTGTCAAACCATGGGCTAAACTCAGGAACAAGAACGCCAGATCAGACGTTGCCAGAAACATCTTTAAAAAAAACCCAAAAACATGGTGGAAGCAGTTTTTTGGCATGAGCATGTGTGGCTGCCGGTGAAGCCGGACCACTAGTGTTTATTGATGATATAATTGCTGATAGAAATAACAAGATAAGTTCTGAAGTGCACTATGGGGCTGTACTAATGCTTGGATTGCTGCAGATGCTCCAAAACTGATTGGACAGTGCTTCACATTGCAAAGGATAATGAGCTAAAGGCTAATGCAAAAACAATCCAAGAGTTTCTCAAGGCAAAGAAATGAGAAAGATCCTCATTGCCTGAGTCAGTCACCTGATCTCAACTCAGCAGAGCATGCTTTTCAGTTAGTGAAGACAAAATTGAAGACAGAGACCCACAAACAAGCAGCACCTGGAGGTGGCTGCATTTAAGGCCCGGTAGAGGCAATCACAGTATGTACTTTGAACACTTGATTGTTTGATTTAAGTCACTGTAATGGTATAAAGGACTAACTTTGTAATCGTCCACATATGTGTTCTATAATTGCATCTTGATTCAGAATTTTAGAATTCCCTTTGAGATTTTGAAGATAAAATTTTAATTGTTACCATGTTCACATATGGGGAGGAGGGGGGGGGGAAATTTCTTTTTCTTTTTTCCCCATATGTGAACTTGTCAGACTGGCATGTTATATGAATATACATAATTGCAGTTCGTGTTCTAAAGAGTAACATCTTAATTGACGTCTGCAGCATGTTTTCTTTCTATTTCTTTTTATCAAGGAGAGGGCAGAGAGACAGTTTTCGTCGCTATAGTGCTTGGAACAAAAATGAGCAACAACATGAAGAGAGCTGCCCTTTCCTGAGCCTTCTTTTCAACTAATAAATAACATCCAATTAGACGAAACCCTCAAAGATCACAAAATCAGTTTGCCATTTCTTCCTGGAATACAAGCATCCACTAATAACCTACCTCTACTGAAACGCTGCAAGACGGTAGACAAAAAGAAAGAGAAATGGAAAGGGTGTTGGGGAAAGAAACTGCTAAAAATTGAGAAACATAAGGAAGTTAATAGTTTTTTTTTATTATTATTATTTTATTTACTATTGGAGCCTGACCAATACAGGATTCGGCTCACATCGGCTGGTAAAAAAAGGTTCAAAATGGCCGTGTTATGCAACAAAATGCTTAAACTTTAAAATGTAGTTATTACAGAAGAGTTGGGAGAAAACAACACCACAGATAACATGCTGCGGTATTAGCAGCATGCTGTGTACTACTATACCTTTGGAAGAGATATACTTAAGGAATAATTCAAAACCGTCACAGCACATAGACTGTATGGTAATTTACACGTTAGCTTTGAAAAGTGGTTCTATGATTGTCTTAAATATACCGAAAAAGTTATTCAATAAATCCATATAATGCTTGCGTGGAGATGTTGTGTTAATTTGATCAGTGCAAACATAGTATTTAATTTGGTTTAATCTGATTACCAGTGGTGATGCTGTATTTGTTGTTGCCTTCCTAAGTTTTTGGTTTTTTCCCTCCTTTTTTTAAGAATACTGTACAATATGAATAGTGAATGTCTGGCAAAGCAGATAATTAATAGGAATCATAGATTAAGCTTGTAAACATATGCAGCTTGGGATATGTTTTAGCGTGATGATGCACGAATACTTAGTGAATAAATTATTTGAAGTCATAGCATGGTTATGCTTGGACAAGATGCTTCACGCCTATCCTTTTTTAAAATGTTATTTACTGCAGTGTAAAGGCTTTGGTTTGAATCAGTGTCAGGCTCACTAGATCAATGTAGCCTGTTAAAGAGAAAGTTGAGGAAAGACGGTCTGTTTTCCTACTGCTGGCATGCTATAACAGATAATTAGACAGCTAATTTCCATATGAATATAATGGCCTGGTAAGGAAGTGTATTTGCATTGGTCCTGTCATTCTGCACAAGTATATTTGGGGAGCAGAAATTGGGCTGGTATGTAGGAGGGAATTAACTCGTATGCTTGGTTTGGCGGTTAAGCAGCACATACAGTAAAGAAAAGGCTCTCATATGGTGGTAAAGACCGGTCAGCGCTAACAGCTTTTCATCACTTGTCATACTCAGGCTGATGTGACACATTAAACAGCCGTGTTCATTCATATCCATGCCTCTCCCCTGTCAGCCTTCACTGCATTAACCCTCAGAGTATCTGTAAATTGGAGCCATTTAACATATGTATATGATGGTTAATGGGTTTCTCAAATGCAAGGTGGGTGTATTTCCTAAAACAAAAGCGAGAGCTTTTGTGGTCTGCTGCGTGGAGAACTTGAAAGGCTTTTGAATTAAAAGAAAAGAAGCTGAGGAGGTTGGTGGACACCATCACAGAATTAGGAGACGATTGAGGACTAGAGAAGGTGGGGATAAAAGCATTACAGTAGGCTGTCCTGTTGAAAATCATATGCCTAAATATTTTTTTGAGAACTTGGCATTATATTCTCATTTATGCTTATGTATTCTTAAGTTGCCTAATTACCATATTAATCTCACTTAGCTGGATAAAAATAAACATCTGTGTTACCTCCAGAGGTGCACAGAGTGCAGCTTTGTTCACTGAGGGCAGGAATTAGCTTCTAAAATCACATCAAATGTTTTAAATATAGCTTGTTTTGAACCGCACTGACTATATGAGGATATCAGCAGCATGTCCATGTCTAGCTGCCTAGCAGTCAGCATTGCTGCTGATATATACCTGTTCTCATCAAATGGACTTTCTCTCCTGTGTGTCTCTGTCTCGATTGTGCTTCTTTTCTCCTTCT